CGATGAAACGGACAGTAGCTAAACCCCAGGCATAAATGAATTACAGATGTTTGACACAATTAAACTTCCTCTATTAGACTCTCGCTAAGAGGACGCTTACTCGAGGTCGTAACAGTGTCCGCTATGAAGGGGGTTTACTGTATTCAGTTTGGAAAGAGAGTGACTTCAGCTATCGCGTTACTCTCGACGTGACAAAGTACCACTTGTCCTCAAACACTTATATACCGTCTGTCACACTGGTCACAAGGCCAATACTTGTTGCCTAGAGTTTGATGAAATGAGCCGTGCTGTTTTTAAAAATAACCGGAGACATGGTATCACAATAAAGAGTACGTGGTGGCGTAGTAACTGATTAACTGATTGGTAGTGACCAGTTTGCCAAGACAACGAAACAGTTGTCATTCTTCACTATACTGGGAGGTATATATTTTTTTATTTAAAAAAAGTAGTTTTGACTGTCAGATCAAAGTGTCTGAAAGTAGTATTCACTACCAGTATCCGTGAGATAGAGACAGTTGTCGCGTTGAGAGATGGTCCGCTGACGCGCCAAGAACCTTTGGTTAGTCTTCGTATTATATAGAGAGGTCGGCATATGTGTATACAAATGGAAACTCGGCTTGTTCTTTTTACAAAGCCTCACTGAGACGGTTTCAAGACTCGCAGTAGAACTTTCCGTTCGCATTGTCAGGCCAGGCGTCGAATTATTAAGGTGAGGTTTGATATCTTATTATAAAATAGGTCAAAATATAATTGGCCAAAGTTTTAGTTTGTTTCTTTAAAAATGGTAGCTAGAGCTGTTTTGGCCAAGTTCCCGACTCAAACCTCCATACCCAGTAGTAACTTTTAGACCTCACTAAATGATTTCAAAAGACAGTCATCGTAAACTTCAATTGTCTTGGGAGTAGAAAATAGAACAAAACAAAAAGACAAAAAAATTCAGCAGTAGAATGCAAGGTGTAAATTAAACCATTTATAGACACAAAAATTTATTATTTGAGTAGACTAGAGATATTTAGAAACAAAACATTTTATACTATTGAAACACCAACGGTTTAATTTGTTTCGTTGGAGTTTCGCGCTTAAACTGCCTTGAACATAATTATGCGAATAATTAGTCCGAGACAAAGCAATGTTACACTCTAGCGGAAAAGAAGAAAAGATTTAGAACTCTTTGTTTTTTAAGTACTCTACCGGGACATTTGCTATGCAGAATGAGCACAATCAATTTGCATTTGTGATATTTTGCACATGATAATCGAGTTTTATTTTCGGTCGAACTCGGACACTAAGAGAGGTATGTCAGTGTGAGTGGATTCTAGACAGATCGTCTCAAGCCAGAATGCAACATGAACAGCGTTCATTTATCATATTGGAACAAGCGTTTAAGCTAAGAATCCACTGCTAATTGGCAAAGTATTAAAGAAGGTGACGGAATTTGTAGCATTTGGCGCCAAGACATGGCAGATGAGGTAAGGTAAAATCGTATGACTGTGATTATTGCTACTAACCTGCCGAAATGAACAACATTGCTTTCAGGCTTTCTGCAAGTTGTTCTGGAATTTTGGTGTAAGATGTACTTCAGCCGGCTGAAAGCGAAAAGTATGCTAAAGGAAAATGCTTACATTGGTTGTTAAGATAATTTAATTTTAATGAGTATTCCGAACGACCAAGAAAGAATGGCAACGGGAACTATTTTTTCCGCATTCAGAAGGTCGGCTGGCCCAGTACGTAAACTTTAATTTATAAACAAAGAATGGTGGTGTATTTCAGTTCTTTATTAACAGTGTCGCTCAGGTTCAAAGGAAAAAATTAAAAGATAAAACGAACCAAGGATTGATCAATGAAAATCCACGACTACTTTACCTATTAGCGGATTTCTATTTTTCTTCTAGAATAAACGTTATACATTATCTATCAGCATACCATTTAGTTGGTAGACTGTGTCACAACCTTGGTGATACTTTCGGTACAAACAACAAACAGTGCTATATTCAACAAGTATATTTGATTTAATGTCAACCCTTTTTCAAAGTCAATTGACTCAAACAGCAATTACATCCCCCTGGGCCGAGTTTCCTAACTCTGTAAAAGTTTTTAACTTTAATTTTTTGCATTTTCTTGAAAATTGCTATCATTATATTTTTTCGTTATGGTTTTTTTCGCTATTGATCGTTTCACATAGTAAAGAAAGTTATGGCCTTTTACAGAGTAGATCAAAAGTTTTGAGGACGTTTGAAACCATTGTGTTATGACGTGTTTAAAGTAGTCTAAAAGTCAGAGCTGCAAGCCATCAAAATGCACAATACATACAGTCGAATTGTGCGCGTTTTTCGTCTCCCTGTCCAGTTTTTATTTCATAACTTAATTTCTACGAACGTATCTATCGAAATAAAATGAACAAATAAGTAATTTGTTCGATTTGATAACGATTGTTTTGAGGTCAATATACGAAGACAGTGAATCGCCATACCCAAACTTTGAGTTCACCGAACTTTTAACTGAGTTTGCAAGTTTCTTTACAACTTGAAATTACTTGAAAGTGAGTATTTGTAACGGTTTATGCAGCTTTCCCCACAGTTCAGAAAGTTGTTACCCATTCCAGAGTCACTTATTATTTTGAGGAATTTCGAGCCATGTTTGATGGCGTAAATGTTCAAAGGCCGTGGCATCTCCAAAGTAAATTTACGGCGCTGTCGTTTTATACTGAATGCTTTCCCACTGTACGACTGACTCTTTCGATAGGACTTTCTAATGTTTCGCTTAAGTCTTATTTCTTTTGGCATTCTCGTCATGAACTTCACCTAAAAGTTAGCAAGAATGCTCTGGAAAGCTAAAATAAAATATTCAAATATTCATTTGGCGGCTTTATTCATGTTATAGCACAATGAAAAGTTCTGATTGAGGAACGTTCTTTCCATGCAAGTCACTGGGTTTCTTCGGCTCGGCTTGTACGCTGAGACACTTTCAGCTCCACACTTCTTCTTTTGTGACACTGTATTAATCTATTATTCAATTCGTTTTTGTACATTATTACCAAGACAACTAGGTATATCTACAAGGTGATTTAAAAGGCGTATATATTATGAATAAACATTTTTGAAACAGCATTGTTTTCAGTCATGCAAGCTTTCTATCAGTCCCTGACTGAGCGAAGCAGAACTTTACTAGTAAACCATTACCCTCTCTAGGGAAAAGTTATGTGGTGTATAATTTTTGTCGAAAATAATTCAAAAAGAGTATTTAAGTATTATCGAAGAAATCTCCCCAAAAGAACATTTCTTCTTGTTTTCCCCCATCAATAAGGCAAAATAAAAGTTGAATTTTAATTGAAACGGAGATGAGATCGTAGAGGAATGTCTATGGTTGGAGCCGGTTCTGGGAGTGTAAATCAGTACTCCTGAAAGCTGAAACCATAGCCTTTCAGACCAGTGTAGGTTTTAAACATAAAGGCGTCCCTAAAATCCTCACTGGATATTATATTTTTGGAATTTAACGGACCACTTCTCACCCAAATGGCTTCAGTGTCTTGAACACCGGTTCGAGGGGGGTTTGTCTAACCAATGGAATTCCGAAAATTAAATTCACCAAACTTATTTAAATTTGCTCTGTCAAAAAATTAAAACGGCATTTGGATATTAGTAAAAGTGTTGCTGAAAAAGAATAGATCACCCAGGCTATTTGATATAAGAAAATCCTATCTTGGGTCAGTGTATTTTGCGCAATCTTAATTGATGACCTCGTTTAGTTTTTTAAAATGAAGTAAAATTTTTCTAAATGAAATTAAGTTCGTGAATTAATTTCAAATTTAATTAAAGACTAAGGAATTGGAATTTAACGTTTTTTGGTGCAATCGATTGAAATATCCATGGCGGACTGAATAAAATGAAAATCAACCAAACAATCAATCAAACATAGAAATAAGGCTGAATACATTTTAATGACTGTAATAATTAACAATTATTCCTCCAGCCCGAACGGGCTCTGAGTCAATAGCCCATGAGGCCGAAGACCGAATGGGCCATTAACTCAGAGGCCATGAGGCGAGAGGAATAATTGTTTTAGTAAAATCCAACTAGTTGGCAAAAAATATTGAGAATAAAAAACTTTTGGCTAGTTAAAGCTAGACTTTAATTCTTTTTTGCTGCCAAAAAGCCCGCGCTTTTCGCTACTGGTGGGCTATAACATATAGCCTAGTAGTAGCTCAACCAATCAGAACGCAGCATTGATAATAGACCACTAGTTGGATTTTACTAATATTGAATAGTGCTACATCTTTTTCACGCCTGATGAGCATTACAAACCAGAACTTGATTTTTGTTCAATAATATAATAATAATAATAATAAATTTTATGAAGAGTAAAAATTAAAGAAAAAACAAAATAAAAGTTGTGACGTAAGCCGCCTTTTACTCACTTGACAGTCTTATCCGACAAACACTTGGCCTTCTTAGCAATGAGCTGAATTGCTTATCAGTATCTTTAAGATAACATTGTTTTTTCTTAGCAGCAATAATGTAACGGGCATTTAGGAAAAATCAAGTCACTGGATTAAAATTGATACGAGCTATGACAGATGCAGATTTTCTAGGTTAATTTTTGTAAACTAACAAAAAGAACAACAAGAGATTATTTTGAATTTTTTCGGCTTAACTATGCACCATTTATCCTCACTCTTGGTTATTGTCACATCTGTTTCTCTCTACGCCCCATCTGCTCCATTGAGGTTATTTGAAATCATTTTTCCAAACTCTTGAAACGTCAATAGTGTTACGATTCTGATTCAATCTATTTATATTCAAATTCTCCTAAACCCCTGCCTAACAAGGAGAATAATTGTTCGCATTTGACTCGTGTTCCAGGAAACAATTCCGTTGGCCGAGGAGCCGCATCAGGAACCAGAAACTGAGCCCGGACTCGAACCCGCGCCTGACTCTGCAGCCCAGCTTGACGACGATCCCGAGCAGGGAACCGAGGCCGCAGTCCTGCCCATCGAGGAGCCTATGGAATCGCTTACCGTTACGCTCAAAAAAGGCAAAGGTAAACGCTTTTGCTATTTCAAACTATTTGTGACTAGAGTAAATAAAAAGTAAGAAAGGTCAGTGTTAACAAAGAATCGATAAATATTCAGGTATTGATTTTTCTTCTTATGATAAACCCGCAACTTGTAAAATATGTATGTTATGGTTTTTGGGCAGTTTCCAGCATCGCGAGTAGTGCAAGTCTAAAATGAAGTAATACCAAAGACTCAGAAAACACGCCAAAATACTCACACCACTACAAAAAACAAACAACCAAATATGCTCACACTGCTGGCTAACCAACTGTAGATTCTGCAGTTATACAGCAAAGAAATACCGTATTTATTCGAATTAGCGCCCACCTCGAATAAGCGCCCATCTTGAAGGCAGAAAAAGTTAAAAATCACCCAGCCTCAAATGAGTGTCATTGAATTCTGGATTCCAGTCGTTAGGGTGATTAGGATTTATTCGTAGGTCCGGATTTCAAAGCCCACTGTTCCGGATTACTCAATAAAAATTCCTTGATTCCGGAACTCAAATTACCTTACCTGCATGGAGGCGACTAGCAGAATCTGATTTGGACTTGGGTGCGTTTTTGTCATCTTTAACAGATGGTTATGGCTTCAACGTGAAAGGGGGCCGAGATAAGCCTTATCAACAAGGTGATCCTTGTGTCTACATTACCCGGCTCAGACCTGGAGCTGCTGCGGAAAAGAATGGCCTTTTATCGCCTGGAGATAGAATTGTGGAGGTTTGTGAAATTTTCTTTACAAAACATCCATTGATTGTTNTGGTTATGGCTTCAACGTGAAAGGGGGCCGAGATAAGCCTTATCAACAAGGTGATCCTTGTGTCTACATTACCCGGCTCAGACCTGGAGCTGCTGCGGAAAAGAATGGCCTTTTATCGCCTGGAGATAGAATTGTGGAGGTTTGTGAAATTTTCTTTACAAAACATCCATTGATTGTTTCTTGATCATATTAAAATACGAAATGAACACTCTTTGTAGAGAATATGAAGATTGTATTAAGAAAATTTCTGAAAATTTATCTACTTGGACTGTAAATCTTCTAAGGTTTTTTAAGCGAGATCGAGGTAAATTGAATGGATGTTAATCTTATTTATTGCGCATAAAGGTCAATTTCGTTTGAAGTATAATCTAAGATGTGGCTAATTAAGACAGAATTTATTGCGTTTAGTTTAAAAGAAACTCTTTTGTCAGTGTAGAGTTAAGTCATGTCATAATAAGAAACAATGTTGTTCAATGATTCTCTGACTTTCATAGATCAGTGGTGCTGACGTCCGGAATGTCACACACGGTGAAGTGTTGGATATGGTGCGAAAATCCAGAGGAGGAAAGTTGACCTTAGTGGTGCACAAAAAAGCCATCAAGGTATAGAATATTTCTTCTGTTATCAAAGAGAATGAATTTGAAGCTGACGTACATCATTAGAAAAATGTCACAAATACAGATTGCTTTTAAAACAAAGTGGGTGTTACTTTCTTAACAACTGAAATTTTCGAACAAAGTCTTTTTGATGTCCAGTCCTAAGGGGAGCCCGGAACTTGTTTTGTAAAACAGTGGTGACGATGGCAAGAAAGTAATCACTGAACTAAACAGATTTTTGCAGCATATTATGCAATTTTACTTCTTTGCAATCTTACTTGCAAAAGCTCAACTTAACTCAATTTTGAAGGATGTAGTCGAACTGTCCTTTTTAAGCATATGGAGAAAAAGGCCCCCTCTCCCTCCAAAAAAAAAAAGAAGAAGAAAAAACAAGCAAGGGAAAGAAAGAAAAGAAACTACTTACACGAAAAAAGGACGAATTAGGCTTTTAACAAGCCCAGAGGTAGTGTAAACTTTTCACAGCATACTTCTTTATACGTTGCTGCAATTAGTTAGCTCCCAAGCGAATACCAATTTTTGCAGTTCTGAAGCCTTTGTAAATGGTCAATCACGTTACACATATTAAACACCTTACTGGAAGCCAGACTAGCGCCGGGACAAGAGAAACAAAGAGCTTGCATCATTTAAAACAGCTAGATTGTTAACAGCAGAAAAGAATTAAAGTACTGCAGAAATGAATGGACCCTTGTTTTCATGGCGTGATTTGCTGCTGTTTCCTTTAGTATTTAAATGTCCTAATTCCAAGAAGAGCTGTGTCACCAAATTTTTTAAAATGCAAACAGTGACTGATAACAAATTGCCTGAAACATAAAAATAATGCCTTAACACATAAAAAGAAGGTTTAAATTTACTGTACAACAGAAGGCATGGATGGATAAACGTAACGAGGATTAAATCGGATTGCAATTATAATGTGGATTTTAAAAACTTCTTAGCTTAACAGTTTTCCAAAGTTCATTGGTTTTTCCCCTAACGTTTTTGTTTGATGTTAATTCTTTGGGTGAGATATTTGTCTGATACGAAGCTGTGATTTTATCATTTACAGGTAAATTCGTTGCTAACATTAAGTTCCTTAGCTATTTAAGACACAATAATAACCCAAAAAGCAAGACAGCCATGTCACAGCCTCTTTAATAACGTTAACAATAGCGCTGATTTTGCAGAAAAAGACAGTAAAATCAAAATGACCTGTAACTAAGAAGATTAAAAAATACGTTCGACACTAAGAACATGTATAGGATTCGATAAACACCTTAATATTTTCTGATTTACTTTCTTCGAAGATGAACGAGGAGGACAGCGCCAGCCAGGGCGTTATGAGAATCGACTTGCAGCGAGAAAAGAAAGGTACTGTCATATTAATTTTGTTTTCCTTTCATGCCGTTGTGATAATTACTCAACGGTTACTGAGGCTGTGAGAGTTTTGATCCCAGGAGTCAGTTAATTAGTAAGTAAACCATGATCATTCGGGTGAACGTAGTCCTGAATAATTTTTGACAGTCACTCTCTTTTGACGTTTCGACGACCTTTGTGATAGTTATCTTAAGTTACGTGCAAACAGACGCAACAACTCCCAACATCGTTGAGCCAACATTGTTGGGAGTTGTTGCGTCCGTTTGCACGTAGATAAGAGTTTGACGGGTTTCAAACTTTGGTGCAAACAGACGCAACATGTAGCATCCTACAATGTTGCGAGTTGTTGGCCAACAGTGTCGTGTCCGTTTGCAAGCGGACGCAACAATTGCCAACAATGTTGGGAGTTGTTCAATGTTGTGTCCGTTTGCTTACTCCCAACAACACGCAACAACATGCAACGGGGGGTGCATACGGACGCATAGTGTGACATTCAACGATGTTGGCAGTCGTTGGCCAACAGTGTTGCGTCCGTTTGCACGTGGCTTTAAGTTACGTACGTGCAAGCGGACGCAACAACTGCCAACAGTGTTGGGAGTTGTTCAATGTTGTATCCGTTTACATGTAGCTAAAAGTTTGACCGGTTTCAAACTTTGCGCAACAACTCCCGAGAACACGCTGCAACATGCAACAGGGTGTGCAAACGGACGCAAAGTGTGACATTCAACAATTAATGTTGGGAGTCGATGGCCAACAATGTTGCGTCCGTTTGCACGGACAAGTTGTATGTCATGAATCACGTCAGATGCCGGTACAATTCTGAAGACTCTAAACCAATGTCCTTGATACGTTTCGATCCGTCTTTTATCACAGTTTAACAAGTGTTTATTGTTATTCAAATCGGCCACCTTCAAGATGACAAAATTTGACAAAAACTGGAGCAGTTCATTTCGTTTTTGCTTTCGTATTTGAATTTTTCAATCTCGCTGGGGTTTAAGCAACAAAAGCCCTAATTTGCACAAGAAAACAATGAACTTAAGGATTCTGGTTGTTGTTTTAAAATTACATCATCATGCAATTGTCCCATTGTCGGTTGTCCAGTCAGTCTCTCGTAGTTAGTTTTAATTTGCTTGGGTCCGTCAGTAAGTCGTTTGTAAGATGCCGGTAACTGTTAAATACGATTCAATCAGTGGTAAATGAGTCTATTTCACACGAGTCCATCAGGACGTAGCCAGACATAACGATGTTTATTACGTATATTCTCATCTCATAATTCTATTTTCCGTTTACAGGTAGAGGACTGGGTTTTAACATCCGGGGAGGTAAAGATAGCCCTTATATCCCAGGGGATTCAAGTATATATGTCACAAGAATCAACGGCGATGGAGTGGCCGCACGGGACGGCAGACTGAGCGTGGGCGACAAGATTTTAGAGGTAATTTATTTTTCTCTTAAATACAAGCAAAAAAGATCTGTTTATAGGAGAGAATCCTATGCTGATTTGAGCTTCAAAATAAACATTTGTCTTCTGCGGTAATGGGAGTTGGTTCAGCCGCTAGCTAGCTGGAGATTGAAATACAACTTGTGATGAATTTGCTGACAGTTGCGTTCGTTTACCTCGGACGCTAAGAAAATATATTCTTATAATAAATTGTTTGATCGAAGAAAGTGTTTATTTAAAGACGAGTGATGAGGTTTGTGTTTGTCTTTTCATTTCGTCATAAAATTTTGCCAGGTTCCGGACTGTCCCGAGGTGTTTTCAATTCGGGTTTCGAGTGTCATGCCAAGTCGGCCATTATTCAATATCACTCTTCTTCTCTTTTTAATTTGAAAAAAAAAGAGCGTTCTTCCGACTCACTGATTTAATAGTGTACGATGCTTAAGTGCCAACCTTGGGATATGTGAAATTTACGCACAACTCTATGCAAATAATTTCGTTATTTGCTCCTTATTTTCCGAGAATAGTGTGAAAATTAGTAGGTATACATAAAGTCGAGACCAGTCTATACTGAACATAAGTAATTATAAAGTGTTTAACGCATGGAATCATTTGTCTCGTTATTGAATTAATGTTACATTTGACCCTCAGATCAATGGCGTCAATGTAGAGAACAGTACAGTTGACCGTGCCGTGGATCTGATTCAATCCAGAAAGAAGAAACTCCTTCTTCTCGTAGAGAAAAAGGCGCTGCAGCAAGTCGTGGTATGTTCTTGTTTTAATTGCTCGTTTCACGGGCGATCTAGGACTATTCACTTTTTTTGGGAGGGAGGGGGGGCCGTGGGGGAGGTACCTAGGTGGGACGGGCCATAGATCTTTGGCACACGAGACTTGTTAGTTCAGATATGGCTCTCCCCCTTTCAGAATGTAAGGTTCATCCATCAGTGTATCACTCACAACTAAACTCGCTCACTCTCAGTCACAACGGAGAGAGAAAATGTTTGGGAGAAAAAAAACTCAAATTTGGGGTGAAAAGTCGTTAAAAATTTATAACACCATGGATATGTACAGAATATAAGTTTATAGCTGAGTAGTAACATCACAGGATATTTTCCTCAAAAATCCATAACTTTGAACGACTCCTGCTGTTATTACTACATAATTCATGGTCGGAGGCAGTGAGTAGCGAAAATTTGAATTACAAATTAAAAGGAGGTGGTATTGAGAATATCTCTGTTGATGAATTTTTCGCGAACTAAAACTATTTTATCATTTTCTCGCAGAAAACTGTGCGCGAAGGAGCTGTAGACTCGCAGAGGGGCAAAGAAAATTGTATTGAGCTATATAAAGATCCTGAATACGGTAACGAGAACTCACATTCTAGATTCAACTGTCACGCTAGGCGCCTTTTTCCCAGCTTGTCATCACTAACATAACCTTGTTCTTGTATTTTACAAAAAGATCTGTTTCAAGGAAGATGAAATTTGGTGAAAATCTTTTAAAACATCATTACTGTCACTCTTGTGTTTTCTCTCCTTTGCCGTCCTAATGCGTCAGTTCACTTTGTTACGCCGGGTATAATGCCTTCTTTACCCTACGATATGATAGAGCCCGGCCGTCCAAAGAGCGTGTCGGCTTGACACAGCAAACTATATTGTTTATATCTTCTGGCGTTATAGTAGTTCACATTATTATTAATATTGCTGTCATTGCTTTATTTTATTGTCTCTTTTTATGGCCTCAGGTCTCGGATTCAACATCCGGGGCGGTAGTGATGCAAACTATCTTCGTGGTCATCCGGGAATCTTTGTGACGTCAATTAAACCCGGAAGTTCTGCTGACCGTGATGGTCGGCTCAAGATTGGAGATAGACTTCTTGAGGTACATACAACATTGACATCAAGGGTGCGTTCCTTTGAGATGATGCGGATCAGGATCTGTGATCAAATAAACCGATGAATCCACTCTGGACAAGGATTCATCGGTTCATTTGATCTACCATGATCCGAGTGATCTCGGATCATTAATCCTGATCAGGATCATAGCAAAGAAACGCACCTAAAGACTGGTTTAGAGAAAATCGAAATCAGTACTTTGCGAGTTCATAATTTTCCAAATCTACTGTTACCTATTGCCTGTCAACTAAGGGGCCAAAAGCAAGTGCAAGCATAGTGATATACACAGGGGCTAAACATCCCGCATTCTAACATGGCGGACGGAGTTCTTCAGCTTGGGTTTACGTGGTCTCGGTTTACACTTGTAAACAGCGTATGCGTCGACGGCAGGAAGAGGAATTGTCCATTTCTTGCTTCGTCATCATTTGTTCTTGCGTTTGGTTTACTCGTATGAGCTAGCTCTAACCCTTCAGGGAATTTTACATCCCAGGGAAATAGATCTAATGTGGGTTTCCACTGTCGCGAAATTTCTCCCTGCGTACGTACGCGAGTCAATTTTACGCCCTTGAATGAAACAGAGACAATGTATGGAAGATAATGCGTATACGTAAAAGTTAAAACTCGCTCAACTTTTACGTTTACTCTTGGCTTTTCATACATTGCATCTGTTTCATTTACGCACGTAACGTTTACGTGCGTTTGCACGGAAGAATTACGCAACAGTGGAAATTAACTCTAATACACCTTATTCCAAAATGGTAAGAATAAAAAAACGTGTAATGTAATTTGTTTACCCACGGAGCACGTGTCCGTGCGTTCCAGATAGAATCGGAATTTGGAAATGTTGGTTTTTAAGGAGATGGAAAAAACGGAGTACCCGGAAAAAAGCCTCTCGGAGCAAGGAAGAAAACCAACAACAAACTCAACCCACATATGTCTTCGACGCCAAGATTCCAACCCGGGCCACATTGGTAGGAGGCGAGTGCTCTGACGCTCTCACCAATGCGCCAGCGTTGTCCCCCATTATGGTAGCAATACTACATGTTTTATATTTTTGTTTGTTTTTTTGTTTGTTTTTTTCGTGTCTTTATTTTCGTGTTTTGCCCTCTTGGATCATCGATTGTATGCAAAGAGTTCAAATTAAGTTTCATCGTGAAACGAGACATTGAGAGTCAAAAGAAAAACTAAATTTTCTGATCACTTTTAATGTTCTTGCTTTACCCCTTAACTAAAGGCCCTCTTCTGTTAATTTTCCCGTCAGATAAACGGCGTCGATGTGCGCTCCGTTCCTCAAGACGCAGCCGTTCAGCTTGTCCAGCGGTCTGTTGAAAAGGTGACATTGATGATTGAAAAAGACGCCGAACAACTTTTCAAAAATTCAGAATTTTATAGTCTGGTAAGGATGAAAAAAAAAATGCGATAAAAATTGTTTGAATAATTCTTTTTTCGGTAACGAATTTTATGACCTTTATTTCAGAGTGATTTCGACGAGGTTGATATGAGTGGAGAAGCTGGCTGCTTCTTCAGAGATCAGAAAAGAAGAATTGGTAAGCAAGACGACAGCCTTTGCTATTTTAATGCTTAATTTTGTGAAAAAAAGAGGAAATCGCGTTTCATTGAATTATAATAATAAAAAAAATGAGTAGGAGAAAGGCCAACGACGGCGCGCCACTGCAAACGCTGGGTGTTCAGAATATTAATAATTTTGCGTGCCACTATTTTGTTCTAGACTTTGTGCTAGTTTACGAAGAAAACAATGACGAAGAGACACCTAAGGAGATATTACGATTCCGAAGGAAATACATGAACAACCTACAAAAATCCCAACTGGAGTTTGAAGAGGTTAGTTCCTTAAAGAACATGTCATAAAGAAAATAAGTTATGATTTTCTGCATATCGCGAAAATATTACAACGGAAACGCCAGATTGGGCCAACCCGATTGTCCTGGGTTTGAGGTTTTTGACTTAAGTTAAAATGCATTGTTCCGTATTTAAAGTCGGTAGCTCGAACTAGTCTTCTTCTGACGCACAAGCTTGGGGCCGTTGATTTATAAGTTTATAAGGTTTAACGCCACCGTTTGTGTTTCATTTCTGATTAAGTTGTTTTTGCCTTTTCAGGAAAAATCAGCCACGAAGAACGGAACCCTACATTTCATCAAAGTCCATGTTCCATGGGAAGTGATGCTTTTCTATGCAGAAGAGTTGAATTTCAAAGGACCACTTAAGGTAATCTAACAAGTACAATGTAATACAATTATGAATTCAAAGTTGTAGTGTCAAGTAAGTAGCTAGTTTCCACTCCTTCAATTATCCTTCGTCATAACAATACAGATCTTGATTACAATTATCTTTTTTGTAAGTAATTAGCCCTCAGTGTATCATATAACTAAAAGGGTTGAACATTTTTCCAAGTAACGGGGATGACTAGTGATTAAAGTGGGGAGACTGTGGAGCTATTCTCTTAGTAGGTCATTATTTGCTTTAGAAAAGTGAGGGAGCTAACGCCCTCTCCCCCACTTCTACATAACGAAGTGGTCGGTATAACAAACGATTCTCGTTACATAAGTAAAAGAAAAATATAATTTATGAAAAAGGACCTGGATATAACGAAACTTGTTATTGCGAACAAATTTTGCCAGCCCCTTGGGACCTTCGTTATGGTCAAGGTTCCACAGTAACTAGTCATTTGGCCTTGCGAGAATTTAACGATTTGCAACTGCTGTTTTGATATTTTTAGGAAAGGACGGAGGAAAGGATAAACTGGTCTGAGAGGATAATGAAAAAATTCCATATCCCAAATATATTCAAAGATGACGTTCCCAACCAGCCACCGGATTATTTCACCGCTACATTCCAGGCAAACAAGTTACACAAGTAAGAACAAAACTTCTTTTTCTAGTTATGATCGGCCAGCCAATCATCAATGAAAAATGTCTGTCTTAACAAATTTTATGCCTATCTCTAGGTTTGTTGGTAGTGATAATCCAGAAACTTACTTCAAAGATACTGAACGAACTCGAGTGGTAAGGATATTAGTAAGCCTTGATAATTAAACTCTTCCCTCGTGCCTCCGTCACTATCTTGATCATCAACAACATAATAATAATCATCAACATCATCATCGTCATCATTATAATTAAAGATACCGTATTTCCTTGAATAACAGCCGTCCTTCGATTAATCGCCTCTCTCGAATAATCACCCCCCTTTGATAGAAATATTTGAAATAATCGTCTCCCTCGAATAATCGCCCCCCCCCTACCCCTCTCGCCATCTTCTCTTTTTTTTATCCCCTCCCTGTCCAGTTGAAGAGGTATCTGATCCAGCAAAACCGATCAGTGACGATTCTAGCTCTGAATATTAGGTGAAGGAACCAAATTTGGAATAATTAAAAAAAAAACATGTTCAGTTTATTTGATGCGATAATTTTTTGATTTAATGGGATAAGAAAACAAAATATTTAGGGCACGACTTCCAGTGAGCAACATTTGAAATAATTGCCTCCCTCGAATAATCGCTCAGTTTGGATGCGAAAAAAGAAATAATCGCCCTCGGCCTACTATTCGAGGAAATACGGTATCAATATTGATGTTTTGAAACTCACGACTGAAGCTTAAGTCAAATGAAAACAACGCTCAGGTTTCTAGACTACTCTGCCTCAGGCCACTTCTCTAACCACGTAACCCAGATATCACTCTTGTATTTTTGTTTGAAATGTTTGGAAGATTTGGGCACTGACAGATTAGATACTACTAATACAGTGCCTTACCTCAACCACACATATCACCTTCCTCCTTCGGCATGTCGCCGCTCTTCTTGGCACTGCCGACATCTTCCCCGAGTATCGCGTCTTATGGAATTTTGCCCCCATCTTTGTAACCCATAACTGTTTCTGCTATGATCATATATTAAATCATATTTTGATGACGATTTGACCATCACGACTCTTCTGCAGGCAAACGAGATCCTGGAAACAGCCGTATATGGAAGCAGAAATAAAGGAGAAATAGGTAATTGCATGAACCGTTGGATTCATTCAGTTATTAACAACACCCCGTAAACCACTGAGATAAACCACGCCGATATCAGAGGCACCCAACGAGGATATAGTTCAAAACCACTTAACATAGCATTGTTGAACGTATTTTAGTATTCAAACGGTAGATATAGGCATATTTTTATCCCCTAAAAACTTTTCATCTGTTCGGATTTCCTAGCTGAAAGTCTAGTGATCCGAAAATTATAGGGATAAAAACTTACCTTCTCGAAAATTACAGCCAGGAAAAGGCTCCCGAAAATTTTAGGTGGCCTTTTTTAGGGTCAAAATACGTTAAAAATGGGTAATTATACCATTTTGTGTATGTTCGAAAATCCTAGGAGAGGCAGGCAAGCAAGAAATTTTACAACAAATGCTCCGAAAATTCTAGATCTCAAATCGTCTTCCGAACAGATATTTTCCCGAAAATTGCCGTTGGGTGCCCCTGCGATATTACTGATAAAGGATTAACCTGTTAGTGAGGTTCTCTCATGTGATTATTCAGTCTCTGATAAGAAAGAACCTAACATCGGTTACCTTAATTTCAGCCTCCAGGTTTGCTTAAAAAAATTAGTTATAAAACATGAATTTAAACGAGTTTTTACTCCACGACTTCCATCTTTGACGCCGAGCAACATTCGAGAAAAACGCGACATGCATGTTATTCAAGGATTCAAATTCACGTTCCTACATAGAACACAGCAAAGTTGGTGTGGTAGCTTGGGCGTGCTTTCTTTTCGCGAATAGTGTTGGTTGTGAGTTATAACAAAAGTTCATATAGAGCAGTTAGGCAATGTTTTTATTTTGTTCTTTCTAGGAATCAGCAGATTAGTAGAAGAAGGAGTCTATTGTGCAGCATATCCTCTTCATGTGGTGAGCTTTTATAATTATGAACTTTTACTAAGAGAAAAGCTGAGCCTATTTTGGTTGAACAAAAGGAACTACACTCAGTTGTCGGACAGTGATGGTGAATCGGCCATTGAGCAAGCCTCGGTTTCAAAGCGAGACTACGTATTGCAGTTAGCCTCGTTTTGAAAGTTAGAATTTTTGGAACTCGGAAATGGTCTTTTCAAAAGCAATTTCTTGCTCCTGCGGTTGTTCAAAGAATGAAATTTTTTCAGTATATCTTTCAAACAATTTTCTGAAATCATATTTTTCTCAGGGTCCTGCCGAACTACCGTCAGACTGGAACAAAAACCCTCATGGACCAGAAGAAGACAGATTGAACCAAAGACAGGCAAGTTGTAGAAAAATTAGCCCAACAACTACCTTCCTGCTTCCTTCTAAGTTTCATGTAAAGCATGACATGTGAGAAGCCAATGCGCAATGTCAAAGAGATTTTTCGTAACCACTGATCGCCCATGATAACCGGAAAAAAGCGGAAAAGGACAGGGAAGAGGGAACCTGGGCGAGTAGGGTGTGGGAGGGGTACCATAGTAAAAATTAGACTGTGACTCGTGGTTGGTGGTTTCATCTTAGTTTAAACCTTTTGTTTTCATTGTTATGATTAAATTATTAGGAGTTATTTACCCTCGGGAGTATTTGTAGCACTAATGCTAGTGGGGTCGAACAAACAACTGAAACAAATCAATTAAATCAAACATAAAGGAGTTAAGAATCCCAACTCGCCGGAGGCGAACCAGTTGGCTATTTACAAACTTTATCGAGGAGTCGAACTTGGGACGCCGAGAACCAATCCAGCTAGTGGTCAGGGCGGGACTTGAACTAGGAGCCTCCGAATTACAAGTCCGGCGTTCTAATCGCTCGGCCACGCTGCCCGAATCCGATCGAAAAGAGTTAAGGCAATGCAACATATCCATTGTCGATTCGGCTCTTAAAAATATCGTTGAAAAGTTTCAACGGCAAAAAAAAGCTAAATGCATAAAAATCTAAATACTTGTAGAGCGCTTTCCATTTGTCCGGCAGAACTGGCCAGCCATACTATTCCCTTCGTAATGCAAATGTCACTTTTTACAAAACCTGTCCGGCCAGATCAGTCAATTCCTGAGAAAAATGTACGAGTTTGATGGATTTTTAACCGAAACTCTTATATTAAGCCTATTTCATTTTCAAAATGATTCATGCATCCAACCGGCCAGCTCCGACTTTTGCAAAACTCTCTTAAGCCCCGTGCAAACGGACGCAACATTGTTGACCAACAAGTCCCAAAATTTTGGTGTGTTACATGTTACGTCCATTTGCACACCTTGTTTCATATTGTTGTGTGTTGTTGTGAGATGTTGTGCAAAGTCTGAAACCGGTCAAACTGTAAGCTACGTGCATAAGGATGCAGCAACTCCCAACATTGTTGGCCAACAATGTTGCGTCCGTTTGCACTGGGCTTTAAGTAACAGCTTTTAATCCTTGAGCGCCCGATGAACTATACCCAGTTCTTTAAAATGCGCTAAGGCTCTCTTGTATCTCTGCCACATTTTTATTATAGACTTTGATAGTTGAGTTTTGGCTAAATAACAATTAATGAATCTTAATTTTCGTCTTTTTCTATACGCCATCAGGTCCTCAAAGAATACTGGGCTCGTTGGGGGAAGTGGCTCAAATACCAGCCTCTGGATCACGTCAGGGAATACTTTGGAGAGAAGATTGGAATCTATTTTGGTTGGCTAGGTACGTGGTGTCGATAGATAGGATTTACCTTAGCATGATAGCGCAACCAAAACGGATACTTTAGGTACAGACACCTAATATTGATTTCTTTGTGTCTGTGTTAAATTTACCCCCTACCATTTGAAGTATTTTTTAGAATCCTGTTATCTTCTACGTGGACTATTTGTATTAAACATTGCCTGTAAACTAGCCTGTTCCAGATCCCAAGATAGTGGGTAGAGCGGATCGAGAAAAGTTGCGCTAAAACCACGTGAGGGTTGGGGAAATATGAAATGGTGAAGAGTGTAAGGATTGTTTTCAATACCTCATTCCGGTATACCAGCTCCTGGTATACCTTATGATTGGTCAATTGGGACAGTTTAATTCAAACACTTACGTCAGTTATTTGGCTTCGCCCTCGCAGAGTCTATTAAGCATGTTGAGCCAGTGTGAAACCCTCCAACACCGCACTCTTTGACGTAGGGACTTTAAGATCCAACGACGCGGACGGAAATGAGAACGTCATAAAACCAAAACCATCGGTGTAATAAGCAAAACAACAACTTCGCACGTGCATCACGGTTTTTTGTACACTTCTTTCCTCTTTTTGTACCACTACGACGTGAAAATGCCTAATTTTGCGTTTTATGAAGGACCTATACAAGCAAAGACGAAATTTTATTTCTCTTTCTGATCTTGGCTATGGTCCCTTGAAATTCAGATTCAGAAGGGTTGGCCCACATTTGACAAAGTAAGTGGGTAGGAATAATCGCTATAAAGACTGAAAGAACGCAAATTCACTTTTTAAGCAACGTTCTCGTTGCCGTCTTAAAGTCCCTATTGTGATACGAGAAACAGTTTCTCAGGAAGTAAGCAGGGTAGTAGGTGATTTGTAGTATTTAAAAAGATGTTTACAGGCTCTCCCCTTCTCTCCTCAATTCCCGTCGTTTTCCGCTTGTTCGCTTTTTCACTGCTCGCTTAATCGCTTTTTCCGCTCGACCGAGAGCCTGGAAAAGGCCAGCTGTGAACGAACGGCACTTTATCAGCTTATTGCATTTCGATTCAGCTTTTACCTTTTTGCATCATACAAGGTCTCCCGCCCACATATAAATACTCTGATTACTAATTGCTTCTTTTTGTCGGATAATCCCTAGGACAATACACTGCCTGGTTAATAATGCCGTCTATTGTTGGACTCCTTGTTTTCCTTTATGGTTACCTGACCTTAGATTCAGAAGAGAATACAGCGTGAGTATCAAATTTTTGGATCAGTTTAAGTTTCTGGGAAACTGACCACCTACCCCTCCCCTAAGCCAACATTTTGCCCTAAGTGAGAAGTAAGTATTAATGTTAGCCTAGGGGAGGGGTAGGTAGTCAGTTTCTCAGAAACCTACATTGATCCAAATTTTTTGTCCCTTTTACAAACCAGGTACTGATCCTTTTGGCGCGCCAGGTTTTCTTACATTTCATTGACAAACGTTTCCATAATATAAAAAAAAGTTGGCTCGGCAAGAAGGATGATCCTTGGTCAGAATCAACTTTGTATTATGTTTACGTCCAACCTTAATTTCTAGATTAAGGCGGATCGTGACATTGCACTTTTTTGATCTTAGTTTTTTGTTGCGCAATTACAATAACATTTCTACGCAGGCAATATGGAGGTTGACTTAAGCGATCTTCATTCCAATTAATATAGCGCATATAAAAATTGAACTATTTAAGGAGATTAAAATGCTTTATTTACCAGGCTGGAGATCTGCAGCTCAAAAAATTGGACTTTCGTCATGTGTCCGCTTTGCGAGGAAAACTTGGGATGCAAAGTTTGGGACCTGAAAACAAGTTGTAGCCGAGCTAGAGTGAGTATCGTATAAGCACAGCTGTAAAGGCAACATTGGGTGGGTTCTACTCTCTGTTGCTGTCGCTATTTCTTTTAGTGTGTTTTCATAGATCATTTCATTTCTTCGCGAGTGGCGATCCCAAATTACAAGTTTAAGGCTCGGAAAAGCTGTTTCTTGCGGGAAACGTCTCACTGTACCACTAAATTTCATTTATACTACCAAATGAATTATCTTACATTCTCGTGAAAAAAATTGAGAGGGCAGAGAGAACGCCTTGACATGAGTTTTGTATCGAACCACGTGACCCGAAGACCGCATGGAAAAATGAGGCCGAGGGACTAGGCATGAACTTAACATCTCAGCTCACTGAAGGTCGAGGACGGGGGAATAAACTGAGAAGCTAACAATAATAAACAAGCTGTTGCCTTAGAAATTTCTCTGTGGTGACTCGACGGGCTAAATTAAGATAGATATACGAAAAATTTTATAATCGTTGCGTCGGCCACGTAAATTATCATCAACCAATAATTCTATAGCTAACATTTGACATTTTTCGGCAGACAAGGACAGAGAACAAAATTTACCTAAGACGCTTCTTTTTTCTCTCAATTAACTTTTTCCTTTTTATTTTAATTACTACTATATTACCTCGTAATGTTTTCCTCTGACTTACAAGTTTCAAGCAAATCACCGCACTCTACCATTCAGCTTGTTGGGTGATGGCAAAGAGGAAATGTTTCGTTTGTTTTTCTGGCTTTCTGCTAATAGTTTGTCATCTTTTTCAGACATCGTATTTATTTGACAATCCAGCTACTGTCGGTTATGCTGTGTTTGTGTCTTTTTGGGGTAGGTGCATCAACGAATTCATTTGGTCAGTACAGTCTCTTTATAATTTTCTCATAACCAGGTTAGGTTGCTGGATACGCTTGTTGTTTGAATACAAACGTTTATTCTGTCGCGTGCTTTGTCAACAGCCGTGTTTTTCCTTGAGTACTGGAAAAGAAAAGAAATAACTCTCGCTTATCAGTGGGATGTACTTGGTTTCGAAGAAGAAGAGGTGAGAGCTTTAAATGGCTTTAGCTACATTAAAGTGAGGTGGGCAACAGGACAAAGCTTGAATTTAACAGCAAAGTGCTGCCTTGAGATCAACTAGTGATGATCACTGCTAGACATAATCACCTACAGATATTTTGGCTTTGTGTTTTTGTGCACATACAGTTCATCGCTCAGATTTGTATCAGGTTTCTTAAGGTTAGAACATAAATTGGCGGGTTTATGGCTTAAAGGAGTCTCTAGAAATGATAGCGGAGCTTTCGCGCGCGGTGAAAAATTTGGTTAACTATGCATCCAAGAAATTTTGGTTGTGGTAAAATTGTCCGTCCCTACGTCCGTCCGTCCGTCCGTCCGTCCGCACAGTAGCAAGTACGCACACACGTCCCCTCTGTTCATGTAACCGAAGGTGAAATGTGACACTTACTTGCTTGGAGGGATTTAAAAACTGTGTTAAACTTGATACTGGACAGTCATGTTATGGTCATGCAATTGACATCTGTCAAAAGGGTTTCCGCTGACCAGTGTCACATGACTGTTTCGCGTGCTTAGTTGTACAACTCATTTAGATGACGTGTTTTAATTTTAAGTTCTGCGTTGTCCAGTCAGATTTTCAATTGATCGTAGGCTACGGTCCATTTACCTAGGAGGAATTCAGTTTACTTCTTGCTTAAGGCAAAAGTTGAATTACTGCAGAAAGACATTTCTTTAAAAAATCCAACGAGAGCTTCGCTTTTTGCCTTGGCTAAATCTATACATGAGTACTTTGGTGACTTGTGTTACGCCTCCTACTCCTGATAACGATAGCAACGCTCTTGCCGAAATCAAAGCACAGCTAACTAAGGTAAATGTAACATTCCTGATTTTCTGTTTTCCTTTCAGGAAAGACCCCGACCCACCTTTGCGGCATTAGCGCCAGCCGTAGAGCGGAACCCTGTTACGGGTTTACTGGAGCCACATTTTCCACCAGAAAAGCGATTTCCAAGGATGGTTTCAGGAATTGCCATAATTGGGCTCATGGTACAGTATTTTTTTACCTTTTTCTTCACTTTGTCCTTTTTTTCTGGTAAAGGTTACACTGTTGAGCATATATTTCTCAAGACTTGAGATCGAAAACTGATTGAGTACGGCTTTTTCAAATTTCCAGACAGTTATCTTTCAGGAAAATCTCATTCTTCAGTTCGCAGTCTTCAAAAACTCTTTCCCAAACCCAATTGTTTTCCCGTGCCAATTAACCTTAACAAGATATCCAGCTCTACAATTCAATCAAGAGGGGTTCGGGCTTTCAACAGCATTCATGCATTTATAATTTGATGCTAACATAAACCAGTTTTGAGTTATCAAAATTCATGCCTGACTCCGTGGCTGAGTGGAATAACACAACAAAAATATATTATTAATCTATGAATCTCAATCTGATCCCTATCCTCGGAGACCGAGGGGCAGTCAATAGCTCGTTTTCAGTCACGTGGTAAGCAGCTTTGCAAATTGCTTGGAATAAAAAAAGTTTTTACATGTGAAAAGAGTTCAATTCCCACAGGATTTTTTTGTACAGAAACATGGCCGCCGAGTCATTGTTTTGTACACAAATATGGCCACCGTGACGTGTTGTGAAAACGATCTATCGGGTCGGGTTAGGGTTAGGGTTAAGAAACGGATTTTCCGACCCGAATGACCTGACCCCTGGGTCTCCAAGCATGCTCAGTCCTTTAGCCTCGGTGCTAAGTATGAATTTGAATCATTCCAATCTGGCCTATTGATCATTCTTGTCCTGGGATACCTGTGATCTTTGCATCTCTTGTATTTTTTAGGTATCCCTTGTGGTGCTGTTCATGGTGGGAGTCATTGTTTACAAACTGTTAGTTATTCATCCTTTATACAAGAACCCACAATTTCAACAGTATGCTGCCAACATTGTGTCTATTACGGGATCAATCATGAATCTTATCATTATTATGATTCTAAGCAAGGTATGAGTAGTTTGCGTTACACACGAACTTTACTTTAGCAAATTCATGATTCAATAATGTTAATTTATAAATGGTATTTGCGATGAGTTAAGTGCAGTTTAGTCTCAAATCGTATGCGTGATTTCAGAATTGAGTTCGAGCAAAATTGCACTATAACAAGTTCATTTCCCACTTTTGCGCTCAGTGCAATAGTCAGCAGCAATATTTATTGTATTGATCCAGTAATCGTTTGTAGAAATCCTTTTACATTTAATTTTGCATACAAACAGAAATGATATGCTTTAGAGCGCAACATGGTGCAATGGTTCAAAATAATGCGATTTAGAAAGAAATAGATGTGATTAAGAACAGAAGTGATGAGGTTAGAACAAAACTGATGAAATGTTGCACATTGAAAGATATCCGTTTTTACGCTGGGCTTTGGTCTGTTCAGTTATTAATCTCCAAGCAGAGAGGATAATGATGTCTATCTGTTTAGTAAGAACATTAGAGGGATGACCTAATTGAGAACTTTTGGCTTTCTTTCTTCAAGGTGTATGAAAAACTGGCTTATGTGCTAAACCATTGGGGTGAGTTAATACCTATGAACCATAACTGAGAACTTTTTATCGGTGTAGTTTGTTTTATTTAATGTCCCACATTGCACTCATTATCTTTTTTTCTCATTGGAAATCAGCGCACATTACAGACTATTGAGATTCATCTCCTTGCAGATAATTGAATTATCTGCAGCAGGTTGCCCGGCGAAAAACATGATTTCTAACAGCAACATACTAACGTACTACATACCAACCTGTGTTCCGTGCGTTGGTCCTTACTTTCTTTTCAATAAAATAAAAAAATTATTAGATTCATAATCAAAGTAGGTCTTGGTAAGTGTTTTCAGCCGAGCCGGAAGGTTGAGGCAAATAACCGAACCCAGAAAACTCTTACCTCGACCTCGATTCACGGGATGTAGCAAAGATCTTAACCATTTATTGTTTAGTGTCATTACTAAGTTCACTGACCAAATTCAAGATGAAGGAAAATCGGATTCAAGGAGCTTCTTCTTGGACAAATAGTATCACTTTTATAGCACTAATCTTTAGTATATAATTACTTTTTAATTACAGAAATGCATCGAACACAAACGGAATACGAGGACAACTTGACGTTCAAAGTATTCGTGTTTCAGTTTATGAATTTCTTTGCGTCAATCTTCTATATCGCCTTCTTCAAGGGAAAGTAAGCTGAATGCTGACTGTTGTCTTATTCTGCAACTAACCTTATTGTTATAAGATGAGAAAAACATCCATCCTTGAAGGCCAATAACAGCATTTTGTTCGGGGGGAGGGGTGGGGGAGAGGGATGTTGTCCACGAGATTACGCAAAATAAAGCAAAAATGCTTTGATCTGATTGGCTACTAGCCTCCCACGCAGTCCTTCTTAGGCGGTCGTCACGCAATCATTCCAGGGGGAGGAAAGATTACGTGACGAACGCATAAGGACGTCTGCGTGGGAGGCTAATTGGCTACTAGAGCGTGCAGACTCTTCCAGCCGCTAGAAATTGACCGCTTGCATGCACCTTACTTAAAGAAAAAAAATTAAGTGTTCTATTTATCGTCTGGTAGAAAAGTCTCTTACTGACCAAGCTTTTTCTATCGGGACAAAGTGACATTGTTTCATATTTTAAAGGAAGTTGGTTTCACGCTTGATCAATCACAACTGATATACGAATGGCTATTAAATGAATACAAATCTCGAAACAAAAATAATGACTGTCAAAAATTAGTTCCCTTGTGTAACTCATATCTTATGTTAACTTCCTTATTTTTCTCACGCAGGTTTACCGGGTATCCAGGCCATTATTCCAAGTTTCTTGGTCTCAGATCAGAGGAGGTAAGCCAATCGGCGATCAGTGATGATTAGTAAGAAACAGTAAACTCGCGTTATAGATCATTTTCGCATGACGTCACATCCACCATGTTGCTGTCCCAAATCATTCCTTTGGGAGTTGAACTCTTTTCTTCGAAAAAAAATTCCTTTTGTTTCAATAAGTTTGCATAGCTGCTCTCTGGCGACGTGAGTGTAAAGGCTCTATAAAGGTTGATGGACACAGGAGGTTAGCAATTACTAAAATAACATAAGAGTAAACTCTTCCCTGCTAGCAAAGGTCTCTCATGGCGAGAGAAAAATGATAGGAAAGATACAGACCTCTGCCGGCATCCGATGCGTTTTCTATCACGCATGTACTGGCGTTTCCTTAACAACCAGTGACGTTTAGTCACGTTCGACACAGCTTCAGAACCGGTTTGTGCGATAACAACTGTGGGTTCAGAAATCCCAGCGGGCAGTCTTAACAGGGCACGCGCTTTCCTCATTAAACGAAACCGGTTTTGAAAACCAGAAGTTTCGACCACACATGTGGTCGGCGGCTACGTGCATGAAAGAACGCGTCGGGGGACGGTGTCATAATAATAATGATAATAATAATAATAATAATAATAATAATAATAATAATAATAATAATAAGTAATAATAATAATAATAATAATGAACTTTATTAAAGTCTCATATCTTATAGCTCAGGCACAGTGCCTTACTAATTAGGAAGACTGCATAGGTCTCTCTCTTTCCTCTCCTTCCTCTCTGGCCGTGATCTGGCCGCGAGAGACCTTTGCTAGCAGGGAAGAGTCAACTCTACCAACTCTAAATTTTATGGTAGATCAGCTCCCCAACTACCCCTCACATAAACCAACATTTTGCCCTAAGTGAGCAGTTGACCAGCACAGTTTCAATGTGGCTCTCTGACTGGTCCGTTTTGCTTCGCTGAGATCGATGCGGCGTGAACCTTGGAAAGTTGGAGGTCCTCTCTTATCCTCACAGCAATAGCTGCTGTCGAAAGGGGTTTCCTTAAANACCAACATTTTGCCCTAAGTGAGCAGTTGACCAACACAGTTTCAATGTGGCTCTCTGACTGGTCCGTTTTGCTTCGCTGAGATCGATGCGGCGTGAACCTTGGAAAGTTGGAGGTCCTCTCTTATCCTCACAGCAATAGCTGCTGTCGAAAGGGGTTTCCTTAAAATCAACTTTACTTCATACATCAGGGCACATAACACCGTTACGCGCAAACATAGTCAGCCGAAGAAGAGCGGCCCAAAACTGGACTGACTATAGGGTACATCACTGTTTTCAAACATTGTTTTTGTTATTCAAACTTGTGTCGAAAGAAACAAAAGGAATGTTTTGTTATAAGAACTTATGCGCTTCTGCTAGCGCTTGGCACATTAATATCAATAGGTGACGTCAGCGTGAGTATAGCCATTAAATGAAATAGTCAATAACGCATACAATTATGTGACATAATTTTCTGAAAAAAGCTCTATTGATCTCGCTAAGTAGCCAATGAGAGAGCCGCATTGGATTAGTACTGGGCTGCCCTGAGTGGCAGCCTGGTAGTGTTAACGTTGAGTCAAGGGTGAAGTAGGTTGATAGCTTCCCAGAATCTTGTTGTGATTCCGATAAGGTCATCATCGAAAGCAGCCGCTGTTAGGTCACAATTCTTTTTGTTTGTTTATTTGTTCTACAGTGCAGCCCCGGCGGTTGTCTCATGGAGCTCGCCCAGCAGCTCGCCATTATAATGATTGGCAAACAAGTCATTGGCAACGTGCAAGAAGTTCTTGTGCCGTAAGTCACCGTTTACCACGTTATAAACGAGCATAGGACAGGGATCGATCATTTAAAACAAAATGAATCTAAATATGAAGAACGCAATTGAAAATAACATACAAGGAGGGATCGACGGCTTGTGTGTTCAAAATATCGTGAAAACTCAAGTCACTGTCCAGACATTAAGTAATGATCCGGATAAAACAGGAAACAATTTCTTCTATTATGGCGCAATACTCTTTCCTCACATAAAATCTTTTCATTTTCACACAAAGAATACATAAACCTACAAAAAGACAGTTAACAAAATATGCTGTATTTAAACTCCATTTTTAAAGGGTGCTTTTTGTGTTAAAAGATGCCGATCAATCATAAGAGTCACAAAACAATAGCCAAGAAAAGTTTACAATTTTACATGTTCTTCACATAGGATTTCTGTGTTACTTAGACTCAGACGAGATTTTGTTATAAAGAAGTTGGTTAGAAAACGAGGGATTAAGGGGACAAGGGGTGTTTAAACAAATCAGAGGTGTAGTAGAGACTATCGTTAAGTTAGCACTTTTTGCATTCCGACGCTTGTTTCTTTATATCTTATCTGAACCGCTACTTAACGGTTTAACTTTGTCTTGGATAAAGCAGCAGGAATTGATCATTTTGTATAAACAGTGTCAAGTAATAGTAGGTTTACTAAATCTGAGTGTAACTGGTTCAAAGGCAAAGGCATAGTGCGCTTTTCAAAATCTGTAATTTAAGAGAGTTTTATATGGTTTCAATTTGAAGAAGAGACATGACTGACTTAGCCTGCGAATACAGCCGTTTCTCCTTGCCGCTCGCCGCCAGGAGGAGCGTCTGCGACTCAGCGACACAAATTCCATACTGATGACGTAAATCAATGTTTACATAATAAATCCGGTAGTCGTGGGGTTTTCGATGTAAATTTGTTTGATTTTATGTTTCTCTTGGTCGATTATGGTAAAGTTTTGTGATCCTTTGCGAAAGAGTTCCAGCAAAACTCGAAAGAAGAATTTCGAAAGAAGAATATATTCTAAGAATACTGACTGTTTTGTAATAGATTCATCACGTTTACATTTGAACTTTGTGGCCTTTTGTCTTTCGTCTGTCATTCGTAAACAATCGTTAAAACAATATAACTAATACGTCGACCAATCAGATCTCCTGACCAGATTCCAGACAGATTTTATATCATTAGTATGGAATTTCTGTCGTTGAGTCGCAGACGTTCCTCCTGGCGAAACGTCCTTAGCGACGAGGAGAAAGGAGAAACGGCTTTTATTGCAGGAATGTTCATAATTTTAATTTTCGTTTTTTCATTATCTTTGTCTTTTATATAGTGAAATAAAGAAGTACATGAAGAAGAGAAAAATGGGAATGACTGGCAATGATGTCAAGCCGCGATGGGAGCTCGATTACGATTTGCTGGAAAACGAAGGCTTGTTTGGAGAATATCTAGAAATGGGTACGTTGCATTTTATGAGTCAGTATACAAACCCCCTAAAGGGTTCAACATTTGACCTCCCACCCCCAACAAGACCACGGTGAGTTTGTCAGTTGTCGATTGGTTTAAGACATAATTTCTTGCTATATGGAAGTTTTTTTCAAGGAGTTAGTATGTGCCAAACTGTGACAAATGCTAAACACGATACTTGATCACGGGGTGGTTACTACAGACTTAATGAAAATCCATGGCGGCCAGAAAGGGCGACTTAGTCATTACATGATGGTACAGTTGTATGCAGGTTACTAACTCATTCTAAAATTGCCATTTTCGGTTCGGTTTAATTATTGAAAAGAGCGAATGTAAGTAGCACCAAAGATTGAAACTAAGACAGCTGCAAAAAATTGGTCATCGAAACGTCCCATTTACAGTAACTTTCCTGGGTTTTACCCTTTCTCTACCAAACTTGGCCGGTAAAGGTGGATAATTTAGCCAATCAAATTTGTCTATACGATGACACCAAATGACGTCAATCATACTATAAATATCTTTTAAAGTTTTCAATTTCTACTTTTTGGATAATTTTTTCGAAAGAACGTTTTAAGCGGAGTTTAATGCTGATCCATTGTGACGTCATGAGTCAACATTTTGCTTTGAGAACAAATCTTTAAAATATTGTCAACAATATTATTATAGTAGACTATCTCGTAACTTTGCTAACGAATAATGATGATGATAATAATAATAATAATAATAATAATAATAATAATAATAATAATAATAATAAAGTAAAATTAGCCCGTATCAAGAAATGGTTTTTTGTACCGACCTAAATTTGTCCATCAAAATCAAACAATGGACCTTTTTCCAGGTGAAACGTGTCTAGACCAGGCCGAAGCTTTTCTGAAAAAACCGTTAACCTTCGGCGTCACAAACTTGCGTACAAGTGGGGGGGGGAGGGGGCGGGAAGGAGGGAGGGAGTGCTTATTGATCAGGTAAGAGTGAAATTTCACTAGGGTACCGACGGAAATGGTTGTACTTCAAGGAAATCATGTCGACGCACTTCTATCATTCAGGGGCAACCGCGAGTTAAAGCAACCTCTTTTCTTATTCTTTGCAGTGATTCAGTTCGGTTTCATCACCATCTTTGTAGCTGCATTCCCCCTGGCTCCTTTCTTCGCCCTTGCTAACAACATCTTTGAGATCCGAATCGACTCAGATAAGATGGTGTGCGACCTTAGGAGACCTGTGGCTCATCGTGCACAGGACATTGGAATCTGGTTCGGTATATTAAGTGCAGTGGCAAAGATTGCTGTCATAAGTAACGTAAGTATTATCTGAGTAAGTAGTACTATATTAATACAGAAAATGCTTAGTTCTGTATGCGAAAGCAGGGTCATGGAAAACGGTCTCTCGTCTGAGACATAGTTTGCGAAATGAAAGATTATTTTTTTCCAAAAAAAAGGATCAAGGCTCGAAGCTCTCGGCTGCACAACACCTCCCTCCCACACTATAGACACGCAGCTTCACAGAATTGGAAGACTAGCACTACGAGATCCTTGAGACAGTGAATTGTTAAAAGGATACGCTGTTGTGATAAAATTAATTAGTAAAACATATATTTAATCTTCGGTGTTTTTACATTTGACAGGCGTTTCTTATAGCTTTCACCTCGCAGTTTCTACCCAAGTTGCTCTACCGTGGGACGATATCGCCTGATGGCTCTCTCAAAGGGTTCACTAACTTTTCACTCGCCTGGGCCCCACCAAACGCTACCTCGGAGCCTTGCAGGTACGGTGCAGTGACAAACGAAACGTTCAATTTGCAGGTTCAAAAACCATTAGCCTAGCAAAAATGTCGCAAAAACTGATGTGCAAAACTGAAGAGTAAATGTGGGAGCTTGTGGGGCAAAGATGGTAAATGCGGCATTCGCATACCAAAAAACCACAGGGTTGTAACTTAGGACGCAAATCTTTGCTATCTTTACCCCGGATTTACTCCTCAGTTTTTACGTTTTAGCCGATATAATTAAGGTAAGTATAAAGTATATGAAACGAGTGCTCATATATATGGATGGTATGATTACGAATATTTTGAGGGGGGCCGGGGGCACCTCTTCGGTAAAAAGCGCTTTATCAAAGAAAGAGTGTGCATTAAGGGGATGGAGTATCTTCGTATTAAATAAACTGATTGTCCCTCTTTTTTCTCTCTTTACAGATTTATAGACTTTCGAGAACCAGACGGTTCATTGAGCAAATTTTATTGGCATTTGTTGACTCTAAAACTTGCATTTGTTATCATTTTTGAGGTGAGTATATCAGTTACTTCGTTACAGATGCACGACACTTAACTTTCAAGATTTACGTCGCCAGCTAAATATAGGAAAATGCCTGAGCTTCAAGGCCTTTTTAAGAATAATGACCGTGTGTGCAGCGTGGTTATTATTTCTAAGGAGGCCGAGGAGCCGTCAAATTTCACTGCAATGCTTATACCGAAGTAACCATTTCTTGGCGCAGTATGGTAGAGATCTCATGTAAATATCCACGGTACTTACGGTTGTTGATGAAAAGATTAACCATACTTTCTCGACTTTTCAGCATTTTATATTCTTTGTATCCACCCTGATTGACATGCTGGTTCCCGATATTCCTGGAGGACTGGACACTATCATCAAACGCGAATCCTATCAGGCCAAACAGATCATGTCAGATCATCACGGACTGATGGGAAGCTCACCAACGACAGAAGATTTCTTGCTGGAGTTAGAAACGTGACAAGAGCGAATACTACTGTTATTATCATAGGAAGAGATGTAGCTTAAAATTTGCCAAATGTCAAGGTTAAATTAATGAAACATCAGTGGGATTCTAAGAGTACCACTCGTACCTCAAAAATAATCAAAATTAATTATTTATGTACAAAGAATACATTCAATCTTTATTGAAACAGTTTACAAAACCTATTCAGGGCCGTAGCTAGCATAGCTAGTTAACGGGGCGGGGGGCGGGGGGACATTATCGCGCGCGAGTGCCGAAGGCAGGGGTTGTGGGGGTATCTTCCCCCGGAACATTTTCAAATTTGGAGGCTCCTAAACGCTATTTTCAGCACTTGTCATGAGATATGTCTCCGAAAAATCGACCTCGAATATGAAAATGGCAAACAATTGCAAGTCACTATAACCACTCCATCCACAGACTTGATATGTCTGGCTTAACAGGTCCGGGGGGAGGGGGCAGCTGCCCCCGCTAGCTACGGCTCTGCTATTCCAGGCTAGTTAGTCGAAGTGAATGACAAGGTTAACGAGTGGAAGAAAAAAAAAGCCGGGCGAAGAATTGGAACGAAACGCAGGTCGCGTCAATTCTCAAACATTAAACACACTAAAAAAAATTGTAAATATATCGTGAAATTTTCTAAATATCTCGGAAGTTCGGAGAATATCTCTATATCTCAGGATATTGAATTGTAACGTGTTTTTTTTTTAACCAGAGCTGCGACTAAAGTGCTTGTTGTGACGGGGAATGTGATTGATATTGCCCCGAGTATAATAAACAGTGTTCTACTTTTTTAAAACTAGCATCCATTGTAATTCTGGGATACATTACCGGAAATTTTCAGCACTGGATAGTTTGATTGCGGGTTCGTTTGAATAAAGGGAAAACACCAGAAAAAGTCCTAAATATTACAGAAAATCGTATATTTATTGTACCTTTCGATTTTCTCAGTATCTCACAAACTTCTAAGTACCTGAAAATATATATCTGGGGTTTTGCACTGTAAGCCAAAATTCAGTGAATTCAATTTTTGGGCGAAGCAATGTTTAGTGTTTCTCATATAGCTTCCCTCGAATGCACAATAAGGAAGCGCTTACACTTCTCGCTGGGTACTAATGTGAACACGTCCTTTTTTCAAGCACACACGCTGAAATTCGGGCATAGTACCGGTGCCCGAGAAGAGACCTTGTATTCGCGCACAAAAGTAAGCAAAGGATCTCTGTGTGCACCTAATTTTTGTAAGTTCCGGCGTAGCCCACAGTTTTGTACTCGCTGTTAAGTTGATGTCTCAAACAAGCGTCTGACAGTGCGAAATGGAGTAACGATCTGTATGTCTAACCGATTTTTTGAAAACCAGCCTAACGAAATTTGCAGTCATTTGAGTGAAAAAGCGTCACACGGTAGGTTTGTTAAGCCCAAGAAGCTCCAAAATCACAGTAACGAAGAAAAAGGAAAGGAGAAAAAGAAAGAGCGAGGAGAAGGAAAGGAGGAGAAGAGAAAAAAAGCAATGGTTGCACTCTTAAAAGATCCATTTTGCGATAACGTTTTCAAAAATCCATACATAGTCACTTATCGGGTACTCAAGCTGTGACGGCACAATACCATTTTGTGGCAGTACCCAGATACTGGTTCCCACGCATCAAGTGTGGACAGCCCTTAAGTCTTTAACAAACTTGACCCTAATAAGTATTAGAAAATACACCAACCTTTTCAACTTCGCGGTAGTAATCAGGGAGGGCATTTGCAAGATGGCGTTATTTTACTACTACGACCAGAACACTTTCGTTGAACTTGGAAATCCTAGCGAGGTTTAAATAACAAAAGCCCTAATTTGTCGAAGAAAGCAAAACCCTGAAGGATTCTGGTCGAAGTAGTAAATGACGTCATCATGCAAATAGCCTATTTCTTTTCGTAACTTATTTATAAGTTTGAGACGTAATGCACATGTTAAAATTTAAAATCGCTGAGGAAGATAAACTGAATCCATCAATACAAAGAATAAACAACAATAACATTAAAGATTTATCCAAATGATGAACCTCTTTGGTCTGCGAGCCTAATTCTCTATTTTCGAATTCCCCATAATACACTCTGTTTGCCCTCCAAATTTTGCATAAACCATTGTTTTTAAATGCTCCTGGGAGTATTGCATTTTCCCAAGAGCATTTTAAGACAATAAGTTATGCAAAATTTGGGGGGCAAACAGAGTGTATTATGGGGAATTCGAAAATAGTCAATAGTGAACCAATTTACGCTCATTTACCGCGACGCTCGGGGAGCAAGGGCGGCGCAGTGGTGAGAGCAGTCGCCCCAGCTAATGTGGCCTGGGTGCGAATCCCAGCGTCGACGCCATATGTGGGTTGTCTTGAGTTTGTTGTTGGTATTTTCGACCCTTGCTTCGAGAGGGTTTTCTCCGGGTGCTCCGGTTTCCCCCTCTCCTTAAAAACCAACACTTCCAAGTTACAATTCGATCTGGAACGCACGGACACGGTTAACGAGTTCTTAAGAACTCCTAAGTACTCCGTAGGTAAACAAATTACAAACCGCCGCCATTACAACAAAAAAAAAAAATTACGATTAAAAATTACGCTATTGCAAACACAAGCCAGTCATACTTTAGTATGGGTAATGTATAATTGTGGCCGTGTTTGTAGCTTTAACCTTGCGTGGAATTGACTGAATGAGAATGTCAGATAAATCCAAATTCGTGTCACATACTTTGTGCGGCTCCTCAGATGACTTATCGTGTAGATGTGGAATGTTTTGAAGTTTTACCCAGAAAGTTAATTAAAAGTGACTTTTATTGCCATTGAGTGGGATGTTGGCATTATCGTAGGCGAGCGGTTTTTGATGAGGCACACACTTTCTCTCTTTTGTCATAAAATTCAACCAGGTACTATAGGGTGTTCGACTTTGAATCTCATGAACGTTTTTGATACAGAAATGCCACAACAATCTTACGTTATCATTTCCCACAACTTTTGAGCCCGGTTGACATGTCGCGCTCGATGAACCTGTACCGAGCTTGGTTGCCCACATAACTAATATGATCCTATTTGATTTCGGGCCCGAAAGGTTACTGGGACGTTAAAGAAACGGGCCTTAAGTCTCCGGCCTAAGGGTGGGGTGACCCGCAAAGGCGGGTAGCCTGGTCTGCTAGACCGGGTAAACCTCTCAGCCGGGGTCAAATTTTGCCATGTAAATGATTCAAGGTTGGGTAACCCGTGTAGCCGGGGTGGGATTCGTGATACTGAATTCTCGCAAAATTCACTTTGGCGGTAGCTTTGCATCATAATTAAAGGTAACAATAGAAATCCACAGCACTAAAGGTTGCAGCAAGAGCAGCAAGTGAGTGTAGAAGAACATTAATCGCCAAAAAACGTGGTTTGCCAGCATTTTTCTTGTTTACGTGCTTAGCGACCATTCAATAATCTGGAGAAAGTGCACCCCGGGATGGCGGGGCTGAAAGATTGCATGTAAAGGAAGGTTACCTGGGGTCCCCCTGGGTCCCCCTCTTCCATGTAATCAGGCCCTAAGTCTCGGAATCAGTCAGACTTTCTGTGTGATTCGGAAATATCCCTAATTAAGTGTATTGCAGTGAATTTTTTAGCAACCTTAAAAAGCCAACATAGGCATGACTGACCATGACGGACGTACCATTCTAAAAGGACTTATTCAGACTCTCAGAGATGCTCCCACGACAACCATTATCCTCTCAACTTCTATAGGCACATGATTATGATATTAATGCATAATATTTACGACTATGATGTGGTGAAGTTTAAAGATTTAGTTACTAGTAATAAAATTTGTTTCATGATCAAATAATTATTTTCCTTAGTTAATCATTTTACTAATTCTAATGACCTGATCCTTGATTATGTAATGATGTTGTCAGCAGGGTGTTGATTGGGATTTAGGGGTTAAAATGCTCTCCATACAAGTAACAAGTAATTAATTCGCCTGTGAATGAATAGATCTTTTCGTTATTGAATAAGCAATTGTTCATGCCACGTGTTTACCGGCCATGTGTGATCAATATATGTAAAGCAAATCAAGTGGACCTACAAAAAGGATGATCAAGCCCCATTCGCTAATAGCAAATTTTATGTAGGTTTAGTATGATCGTCCGGGTGAACGTAGTCCTGAATAGGACTGTTGTTGACAGTCACTGTCAACAGCAGTCCTATTCAGTACAACGTTCACTCGGAGGATGATACTCAGCCTACTTATGAAATGACTCCTGGCTTCAAATCTTTCATAACAAATTTTATATTTACGTTTTCGATGGGACTATGCCCTACAAGTCCGTTTAGATCAGTGTTACAGAAACGTACGCCTTACATATAACATTCATATTTGCTTACGGTTTCTGTCCACACGCTAAAGAAGATAAACAAATATTTTGTAACACCATTCGGAGAGGAGAGGTTCATGAATATATAATTATCGTTTCCGTGCTGAAAATTTATAAGTGTGGAAAGGTTCATTTTGTTCTAAAAATAGTGTAAAAAAAGTACCGCAAAGAACTTTCAGTTGCTTTACAAAAGAATTGTCTCACACAATGATAAGGGTCTGGAACGCTATTCTCGTGATCCGGGATTTGGCCAAAATACACCGCGGGATTCGGGAAAAGTTAACGGAATACGAGATTTGACTGCTACCTGGAAGCGGGATTCACCATAAATTGGGCACAGATGCGGTATTGGAAAAGAAAACGATACTTTCCGGATAGCGACGACAGAAGCTCGGGGTGCGGGATTCTCGTGAAAAATGAGCGGGAATGCGGGACGGGACGGAACCGGACGGGACCACTTTTTCCAGACCCTGAACGATTTTATGTTTCACTACCGATTCATTTGACGATAAACAGATTAATGACTGCGACTAAAGATTCAGTCAAGAGCAAGAGCAAGCAGTTTTTGTACGGGCATAATTATCAAGTTTAGCCAGTTTAAATTTTTTCCCATTGGGCTTTCGCTTTAATTATAATAAACGCCTCATTGCGACGGATTAACTAACCAGAAAATAAAATTTAACGTTACTGTGATGCAGTTTTTACAATAATTAAAATTAACAAAAAATAAGCTCGCAAAATCATTAAGAAACATATATATACTTTTCTGTTTGAAAGCCATAACAAATGATAACCATGAACTGTTGTATTTTTTTCTAATTATCTTACTTTACTTGATATTTTTACGGCTAGTGTATAAATGTTCGAAACGACAGATTAAAACCTGAACAAATCTTTTGGTCCAAAGTTATGTAGACGCTAAATCCTCTGTTTTCTCTTCCTGTTACCAAAATTTCAGTGGTGAATCAGATATACATTCACCTTATGCAAATTCAATTTTACTATTCTCAAAAACTTCAAGTAAGTTTATATTTTCCCCGGGATAGTAAACCGTTTTAATCAGGTGTTTTAATGCAACGGTACTAAACCTCGATACGACAAATGACCTGAGAGATTTTCCCCACAAAACTATTTATAGTATAATAGTACAACAAAATTATTGAATATTCAATTAAAGGAAAATACGGGCATTCACCTTTATTCGGCCTTGTGGCTCTTTGAATAAATTATCATAAAATTGAAAATCGAACAACTTCAACTTTAAAATGCGGTGAACGCGCAAAATGTTCGTTGTTCGAAAATACGGTCAAAGCGAAGTTAAGAGAGGCCTTTTAAAGTTTAGAAATTGTTTCTTATATACAGCAATAGTTAAGGAAAAAAAGAACGCTTCCCTGAATTTCGAATCCATTAGACATGGAAGTTCGCTAAGGACAGCTGTCACCGAAACACTGTTCAAAGAAGATGTTTTTTGATCGCTGATTGGCTGACAGCGTGCGCGGGGGCTTCTATTTTGATTTCTTCCGAATTTCTTGACGATCTGATTTGAATCTGTCTCTCACCGTGGTGATCAGTAATATTCTGAACTTATGGGACAAAAATATTGCCTATCTTGGCTCACATTTCGGTATA